ATTTATTTAATTAACCAATTAATCAGTGAAATAGCCAATAATATACCAATCAAACTCTTTTGTCGAGAATCCATTAAAAGCTCTTCATTTTAAAAAAAGCTGAATGTGCTATCTTAATTAGCTGGTCCCCATGGCATGTTATGCCTGGGAAAGGGGGCATTTTCTGTGTAAAAGGTAAAGGTAAAGGTTTCCCCTTGACATTAAGTCCAGTCATGCCAGACTCTAGGGGGCGGTGCTCATCTCCGTTTCCTAGCCAAGGGAGCCAGCGTTTGTCTGCAGACAGTCTCCGTGGTCATGTGGCCAGCATGACTAAACACCGAGGTGCAGGAATGCTGTTACCTGCCCACTGAAGTGGTACCTGTTTATCTGCCTGCATTTGCATGCTTTCGAAGTGCAAGGTTGGCAGGAGCTGGGACAGAGCAATGGGAACTCACCCCATTGTGCAGACTCAAACCGGCAACCTTTCAATCAACCAGCCCAGCAGCACAGCGCTTTAAACCACTGCGCCACCTTTTCTATAAACTGATTGCCAAATACTCAAAGTGCTGTTCAGAAAGACAACTCAAATGTATTCCCTGCAATAAGTGATCCTAATTCAGCAAACACTGTGAGTACCCTGAAGTCGAGGAAAATAAACTACAGCGGCGATATTTAAAAAGGGGGGCTTTCTAGACCATTGCATTTATTTTTTTTACTCTAAAGGCATGGGTAATATAAATAAAGTCAATCATGGGGGTAAAATAAATATTTCATTTACTGACTGCTTTTATTTACTGAATGAGATGAACATCTAATTTAATTATCCTCCAGTGGCATCTAAAGTATGACAGACAACTTTTTCCAATGGCTTTTCATCAGCATGGGCTGCATTAAAATGCGCCAGAAACGACTATATTGGTCAGTCTGCCAGAAATGTAGTTGCAATATGCAAAGAAGCTATTAATTCAGAAGCCCATTCACCACACACCAGTAACCCAAATTATGGGAATGAATAAGAATAGCGCTGGGGGATCAGAACAAACTGTCTGACTTCCGACTGTGGCAGGAGACCACATTACTGAATGATGCACATTACTGCCTGAAAAAGCTACCCTCAAATAAATAAAACATAAATAATACAGCAGGGAGAAGACTACACCTTGATGTCCTAATTTTGTTTTTCTTGCAAAGAGTATAAAAAATGAGTCCAGTGGCATCTTAAGAACCAAACAATTTATTTTGGCATAAGCCTTTGTGTATGCATCCGATGAAGTGGAGTATCCACAAAATCTTGAGCCAAAATAAATGTGAGTCTTTAAGTGCCACAAGACACTTTTCTCTGCAAGGACATCCAACATCCAGTCGACTCCACTGCACCGTTTATTTCATGGACCAGCCACTCAACAACTGGAGTGTGCGAGAAAGCAAGAAAATGAAAGCACGCCAATTTAAAAGCACACAGCTTGCACCAGTCCTTTCTCCAGTGCTTCGGGGCAGCTAATTATTGCCCATCTATGGTGTAGGAGACTTACTGTCTGCTTTCATTTTTTTTAAGCCTTGCATTTCTCTCCCCAGGTCCCTGATCTCTTCTCCTCTCTCCATTTATATTCTCTACTTTGGGGAGTGAAGAGCACAAGTGGAAGGACCCACGCTTGGGTCAGTGCTTCTCGGCCTTTTGGCTAAGATCACGCACAGTGCAGGGAGATGTGCTATGGGCTCAGGACCGTGGCTCCTTTCCCCCCGCAAGTTGCAACAGGCCAATCAATTCCCACCCCACTGAGCTTTCTCAAGCCCCCTTGAAGCGTGAACCTTCTAGTCACCAAGCAAGTCTTATCAGGTAGCTCCAGAGGCATCAATCAGCTACTCGTCAAATCTCTATCATCGCTCCATGAGACACGTTCCCAAAGTGGTCGGAAGAGAGGGCTGTAGACAAAGATGCCACCGGCCAGGTCGGCAGTTCTGCAGTTCACCGCTGCAGCAGATACAGAAGAAAGAGCTCAAAGAAGCTGCTATAACATCTAAAAAGATGGGTGAGGGGTTCAGACATGGTGCTTCCATCCCCTTTTATTAGCAGATCAACAAAAACTAGCAGAAGATCATTTTTTTATATATAAAATATTTATATGCCTTCCTATTCGCAAAAAAGCCTCAGGACTGCTTACAATGTCAAATATAACATAAATGACATAAATAACATAAATTCCCGACCCACACTGGCTGCAATTAAAAACATAAAAAAGACACTATTAAAATTTATTAAAATACCGCTGGAATAAAAAGGTCTTAACCTGGCGCCGAAAAACAAATAATGACGGAGCCAGGCGGACCTCTCTGGGGAGGCAGTTTCAGTTAGAAAGGGAATTTTTAAAGGATTAACACCACCCATTTAATTTTAAAGATTAAGGATGTCCTTTCGCTCTAGCAAAGAACAGTTGGTTTTGTTCATTTACAAAACATTTTGTTACAACCCCGTGTATGAGTGGACTGGAAAAAAGTCCTACAATGGGAATTGCAGGACATACACACCCTTCCATACGCAGTGGTACCTCGGCTCATGGATGCCTCAGTTCATGATCAAATCGGTCGCGGACAGAAATTTCAGAAAAAAATTGCCTCAGGTCACGGATTCCGCATCAGGCGACGATTGTGATCGCATCCGTTTTCCCTGCACCGCAATTGCACTCATGCTGGGAAGACAGGCGCGATCGCAGTCGGCGGGGGGAGATGGCCACGATCTTTGTTGTCCTTTGTCACTTTATTTCAATTTTTTTTGTGATTTAAAAAAAATGGTTACAGGATGGATTAATCTTATTTACATTGAACTTTGTGGGGAAATTTGACTTGGGTCACGACCAAAGTCCTGGAATGGATTAAGTTCGTGAGACAAGATACCACTGTGTGTGCAAATATATTGGGGACTGGTAAAATACAAAGCATGGAATGCAAACTATTTCTCATGCAGACTTTTGTAATCCAGGAAGGAGATTAATTTGCTGCTAGCCATAGTCAAAATGCCAGGAACACTGTACTGAAGGTGTCCATTACATTGAATGGTGTAACACACCCACTCCTACCAAACTGTTTAAGGAGAACTCTCCACACCTCATGACATCATATTTCCAATCTATCCTTCACTTGTCTTTAAGTACTTCCATATTTTGACAAGATGTATGGGTGAATAGTTTGGAACTAATAATCTGTACTAAAGAAGGACTAGAATATGGGAAAGTTTCTTGAGACGGGTGTTTCTGGGGAGTTGCCCTAAAACACCAGAAGAAAAAGCAGACTATGCCTCCTTGCATTGAGGATGCAATCTGAAGAAAGATGAAAGCAGAGCTATTTCCTACTTTTTCTGCTAATACTCCTCCTCCCAGCTGCTTTCGCTCCCACTGGAGAAAGATATGGATAACTTTTCAGCAGAAAAATAATGAGAAGGAAAAGGTTAAGAAGACCCTTTCTTTCCCAGTTCTGGTCTCTTGCTTCAAGTTACAAGCTTCAGCAGCTACAGTATGATAAAAGAAAACAGAAGGTCTGAAAAAAGAGTAATGGAAAAACATGTAATGCACAGCTCCACCCTAATATGATGGACCACAGTAATCCCATTCTGTGTGTTTTCCTGGCCTGCAACCGTGTCATCCAATATCGTTTGCCTGGAATTGAGACGATGAAGGCATCCCTCATACACAAGGCTCATTGATTTGTCTAAAGCATTTTCTGAATTGTTTCTACAAACATGTCATTCAGAGTTTTGTTTGGGATTAAAACAGCAGCAGTGCTTAATAGCAACCTCCAAGACTCTTTTAATGTCAGAGATCTAATTCACATCATGGAATGCAACTGCTTTAGCATGGCTGGGACAACTTTAGGGCAGGGAGAGGAGAAAATGTGCTTTGTTGTTATAAGGAGGGAAAACACCCTTTCAAAATCCTAAATCCGTCCGTCAACTTAGTATTTCAGTTAAGGAAGTCCCAGGAGATGCAGAAAAGAATGCATGGGAGCAACAGATAAGCTTGAGTTCATTATCTTTTTACATTTCTCATGCCTTGCTTTTTCTAAAGCTGTCAAGTTATTCCCATAAGTACTATTGTTGGGAAGGCAAAAGGTATGAACAGGAATAAGGATGTGGTGCTGGGGTATTCTCAAACTAACCTGCCAATGAAGCGTCAACAAAGATTCTCCATACAGAAGTTAGAGGTATACATGGTGAGGGAATTGGGAGTTTGCTTGGCCACTCAACCATGCATTGCATCGCTGTATTTAAATAAGGGATAATGCATGTATAACCCAAAAGCTGTAGGCTCCAACCTACATATTCGGTACATTCCAATGCTGTGGCATTCAGATTACATGGCTAATGCAGGCCCCCAAGCAAACACATCGGTCCAATGTATGGATGCCAGAGGTGTGTCTGGCATTCAGGGTGGAGGGCACAGGGTGGGGCTGGATGGATGGATGGATGGAAGGAAGGAAGGAAGGAAAGAGAGAGTCCAATTCCCTCAGTACAAAAGGATTCATGTAACTGTGTTCCCAAAACTATGAACAAGTTCTCTTATTATTATTTTACGCCAGGTACTCTGTTTCTGCAAGAAAAAAGGTACATACAACATTGAAAATCAACAAAGCCAAAACAGTCCCTGAAAAAGTTACCAGCAGATTCCATGCATATTTCTTCAGAGTCACATTTTTGCAAAAACCATAAAGTTCTATTTAACAGAACAAAGGCAGATTTTCAAGAAGTTGGATTTTGTGCCCAGCACCACTTTCTGCCGCTTTTATATGCTCACAGGGAATCAAAGCACGTTCATCACCCCAAATATAATGCATAAACTATAATGGAAAACTCATACATATGAAAATAAGGCATTTTATCAGTAAATCAAACCTTGGAACAAGCAGTGAGAAACAGAAGTGTTCAGAAAAGGAGCAGGGGAGATCCAATAGTGCTTTGACAGGAAGGTAAGAAGGATGCCATTGGGTGGAAGCTCTTGATAAAATGGTCAACCATGAACTGTGACACTCACCCCCAAATACATCTCCGTTCTGGTAGTTTTTCCCCTTCTGAGCTTCCTCTTCATTTTGTACAGCAGAAACATGCTTGGCTGATGCACAGCCCATAATTTCATTTAGTCACCTCCAGCTTGACTGAGCCGCAAACCATTTCTATAGAAGTGCACCCATCACCTCTTTTTTCAAAGAAATAATCCACCTTCCAGTTTGGTCCTCACAGCACTTTTCTTAACCTGTTGGCAGAATGCAAGAGAAACAAGACACAACATCAGTCAAATAGCTCTAATTGGCATGTTTATTTTGGTGGATAAAGATTCCTTAACATTTCTCTGAGAGTGCGGAAGATGATGGTCTATTTAATTTAGTCCTTCCTTGGGTGTTCCCACAAACTTGGTGATGTATCTCAAAAACCTTCCCTCTAACATAAGTTTCTTATTTAGGTCACTTCTTCTGAACCGGCATAGAAATGTTATAATAATAATAATAAAAAAAAATAATAATAACCTTTAGGAATAAGATCAGCTATCCCTGAAGGCTGTTGAAAGCACGTCTGAAAGCACATCTGAAAGAAACATACCATTTTCGGTGTAATGCTAAAGCTATACTCAATCTCTCTGCTGCATAACTATCAATTAACTTGTTGATTCATGCTAAACTCACACCATGGGCTCAACTTCAGCTAGTCACATCTGGTACATGCCTCGCCTTCCAACATACATAGGCTTCCTAGAGAAAGAGGAGGTCCAGGTAAGCAAAGAGAGATGGATGTTCAAGTGAGGTATCTCTTATCACAAGAGAGCGATACACACAAAGTTGTTTGGACACAGAACCTTTGGGAAGAACTGTTCCTTGCCAGCATACAAATGTATGTTCCTTTAGAAACTACACTGTTGTATTTCTCAGCATTCCACCACTGAGGGGATCTCTCTGAGAAACTGCTCCACTGACGCATGGAAGATTCTCAACTGTGTACATGGTGGCATGTGGGGACGAGTACCATCTTATTACCCAAGGAAATCCATAGGTCACAGCACAAACCACAGGGTCTTCCTGAAGATTGTAATGGCCCAGGAAGTCAATAAAGGGGAGATGTTCCTTAAGACATCTTGGTCGCGAGAGGTAAAGTGCTTTGAATATGAATACCAACACCTTAAACCTAACTCAATAACAGAAGGACCTTCTGAATAGACAGGCTGAAACACTCTAAAGCCGTTGACCTTGACTTGAAGGAAAATATTTAAACTTTTATCAATGTCCATGGAGGAGGGGACGGCAGAGGATGAGGTGGCTGGATGGGGTCACTGGGGCGGTGGGTGTGGGCTTGGGTGGACTCCGAGGGATGGGGGAGGACAGGAGAGCCTGGAGGAATGTTGTCCATGGGGTCGTGATGGGTCGGGCACAGCCTTGAGACTAAACAACAAACATCATTCCCTTTTCCCGTTTAAATCTCTCTTACTCTTCTATAGCAGAAGTTAGTTTCCTGGGAATCTGTGGATTTGTTTAGCTCCCAGTTCAGTAGATGTGTTACCAAAAGCGTGGGGGGGGGAGTGAATGCTAGCGAACCCCTCTGTTTTGTTCAGTTGCTTACTTAAATATCTGTGTTAAAATAGGGATTTTATAGATAAAAGCACAGCTGTGCACTGGGTTCAAAAGGGAATATATATCTCAGGATGAGAAGACTGCAAGATATGCATGTTATACCTGAGTCTGTGGCAAGAGAGTTTTTGGTTTGTGTTGCAGAGAATCCTGTGGTTCCTCCAAGCTATTTAAGGAATTCTCGCTTAGCTTTCTTGACTCTGACTCTGGACTATAAACGTTGAAACCTGGAGTACAGGCATGAGCTCTAGGAAAACCTCTCCATTACTGCCAACCCTGAAATGAACAGTTGCAAGTGTCTGAGTATGTCTTCTCAGCTCACAGAAGATCCAAGGGCCCTGACTGGAGTCTTTTCGGAAACTGAGGCTGTGCCCTCAAAGGCATCCCAGAATCCTCAGCAAGGACTCTACGTGGAACATGTGCAGGAATTCTCCCACTGCCAGCAGTATGTGGAATAGGATTCTTGAACTCAGGAAATTTGAAAATCACTGAGACAGAGCATCATGAGGGCACGTCAGTACACACGGAAGAGCAGCGGGGAACGGAGCCTTGCGCATGAATGACTAAAAACGTGTCGCGTGTTAACGAAAGCGAACAATTGCAAGGCATAAATGCTGGCGGAGAGAGGCATGGTTTTCCAATGAGACAGACCAGCAGTGATAGACAAAAGCAACGCGCTTGGTAAATAGGTCATTGTTTCAATTATCAGCTCCTGGTTCCACACCCCTAGTCAAATCTCTCAACCGCTCGGATGTACCATCTGGAATCCGAGATGCCATCTTTACAGTCAAATGGACTTTGAAAAAAATAACCTAACTCAAATTCACACTGACTTAAACGCTAGATCTGGGCTTTTGTAGCTAGGGACGCTATAGGAAGCCGTTACAAAGGGCTGTGAAACGTGACTAGCTCAAATACAATTCTGAGTTGCATGGTAGCTTGTTTTAACAAGCGGCTCAATTGATTGTCCTATTTGTTTTGTCGCTGCTTTTGTTGCTTTTAAATTAGACGCACAAGAAAAAGCAATGAAGATTTTCCAACAATGGTGTTATGATGGGAATTTCACTAATTGCCCTATTCCCTTCCTCTTGATGGGACATGGACAGACATCTTTAAGTACCAGACAGTTGCTGGGAGAGACTGACAGCTCATCGGAAGAAAGAACCCTTATTTTTAGGGCAAAGTGGTCAAACTGCACTTGCTACATTGCCCATATCAACATGTAAACAACCATAGCCATCTCAAGATTTTGTCCACCTACCCTTCAATAAGAATTGCAGCAGAGAATTTATGAATGAATCTTGCAACAGCACGCGTTTTCAACCTGCACCTGCTTTTCTCCAAAGAACTCTCCAGAATTTTCCAACAACGGGGCGCTCCTGACTTGCCCAAAGATGGAGCCATTCTTTCCTGCCTGTTCCACATGTCCCCACCTCTCTTCTACCCCTCTTGTAAGGTCTCTAAGCATCTTCTATCTCCATCTCATTCACCTTGGCAAGCAATCCGCCAAAGATAATGCCACATGCGATACAGACCTATTCGCCTACCTACTCAAATGCACGCCTGTACAAATGGTTTATAGTTCAATCGCAGAAGACAAGATTTTAAAAGCACCATCAATACTCCTCCAACGTGCAAACTGTTTGTTGCCTGCTTACCTGAAGGCAACTCTTTTTCAAAACAGGTGACCAGGTAAGAGGCTACTGAAAAGCTCAATCTGCTTCCCACTCTTTATCTTGTAGCAGAATCTCCTTTATTTCCCTTCCCCTTCCCTGCAAAATATAGACTTCATAAATTTCAGTATCCTAGAAAGAAGAACTCATTTTTCCTCATGAAAGGATCAACAAAATGAAGTCTGAGAAAGCCTATATTTGCCTCCTTTCAAGGGTCACATATTACATGAATGTATACACAGAAAGAGTTTTGGATGTAAACAAACCCTGAAAGAATGCAGTTTCAGTTAATCAAGCAATTTCCTGATAGAGGCGTGAAGAGACATGATCAAAGTACTGCTTGTTAATGAGGCTCAGAAAACAGAATGAATACATTCTAAACTCAAATATGCATTTTCCTCAATGGAGCTTTTTCACTAGACGTTCAAATGTATTCATTTGGCCTCCTCTGACCTTCCTCTAAGCCACCAAGTTTAAAACTTTCTGCTTCAAGAGAAGTGTTCACAGGGACTTGAGTACACCCCCCCCCCTTTAAAGAGTACACACAGAGTCAGGCCCTGGTGAGGTGTCCCTCCATAGAAAGAGAGCATACTCCTCCAGAGGAAATTTGACAGAGGTGAGAAAGTCATCTTTCAGGGGATTGTATCCACTTCACTGATCATTCCACTGAAGAATCACGGAGAAGCGTGTGCTCTTGAGAATGTGATTAAAAACTACTGACATAAGCAGTAGGAGACACCCACAGTCCAACCACCACCATTTGTTTGAATTCTGAAATGCAGTAATTGTCAACGTGAAAGTTTGAGAAACCCAGCATTCATCTACTTAGCCAGGCCACCTTTCGTTTTCATTATGACTGAAGCCCTATAAAAATCAGTGAAATAAATTATTGCGTTTACATCCAAAACACCCTCTTGTTTTCCCTTGCAAAGCAACCACTATGTAAAGGAATACTTCCTTAAACCATTGGCTAAATGAGAAGTCCTCACATGTTTGTAAGCTGCCCCGAGGCTTATGCAAAAGGGGCGGCATATAAGCCGTCTAAATAAATAAATAAATGTTTCCAAAATGAAATAATGGATCGTGAGTCATCTACACACAAACCTTGAGTTCTATCCCCAACTGGTCCCAGCAAATTACTCTGGTCGTCATCATCTGTAGACTAAATAAACCAAATGGTGAAATGACTCCATTAAAGATGCTTAACAACCAATACAAAGAGAGTGATTTATTCTGGTGCCCTGACTTAGCTCCATATAAATGCTAGCACAGCCCCCTGTAGCTTTTAGAACAAGTTAAAATCGAAGTAATAATATGCCATTGCTCTGTGCATACAATGTAAACGAAATCTGTGACGGCGGTTCATTAAACAAAGATGCAAGAGAAGCATCAATACAAGCACCAATTTTTCCCATTTATTTATTGTTCATGTGGATGTAGGTTCACTTCGACACATTCATGCTAATAACCCTGAAATAAGGATTTGCTCCTCTACGAAACTCGGTGCTTTCATGATTGTGTTTTGATTTCCTCTGCTGATCACCGTATTGCATTTTTATTAACAGCATGCCTCTGTGAATCCAGAAAGATAATCAAGCTGTGTTGCAACAGCATGGAGGGTGCAGAGAAGAGGGAAACACTTGAACCGAGAGAGGGGGCAGGCAACACATTGAGCAAGGACAGCTGTACTACTGTTGTGGCAAAAACAAAGAACCCCGTGGCACCTTAAGGACTAACCAAATCAGGACGGGACCCTCCACTTCTAAATTTGCCACACCATCACTTAATATGGGAGCCGCATGCATATTTTACAGTAATATATATTTATTTTACAGTAATATGTATTTGTTTGTTTGGAGGTTTTGCATGCCGTCCTATTCGCATGAGCCTCGGGATGGCTTCCAATACAATAAATAAACAAGCATATAAATAGTACATATAAAATCCAGATTCACCCTGGCTGT